ACCCACCCACCCAGCACCACACAGTGGCCAGAGCTGCCAGCCACCCATAGGCCACATCCAGAGAGTTGGCAGTTGTCCACCTGTTGGCCAGACTGAATCTTCTGGCCATCTGAATCCGGCCCACAGGCCATATTTTGTTCACCCCTGTTTTAAAGGTACCATCCCTGGGCCCTGCACTTCCCACTTTCTGGACTGCTGAGTCTTCCGGGTCTTTCCTGCCAATGTCTCCACCTCTGCTTTTTTCTCAGCTGTTCCACTGCAGTGCTTGGAAGCAGCTGCCAACTTGAATCTGTTCCTCTTGAATTCTGGGGACCGTTCTTCCTCTAGTGGTCACATGGTGCCACTTCTCTTCTTTTCCCTTTAGCCTCTTCAGTACCAGGCTCCCATGATTTCTATCCAAGATATCTTCATTTTCCTTACTAGTATGCAACATGGATACTCATGATACCAACCTTTTAATCTTTTCCTCCAAGACAAGACACAGGCTTACATTTGGTATGGATGAAATAGTCCTGACCCTCTGAAAGGAATGCAAACACAGCTCATTCCACGTAAGTCACAACTGCTGATCCAATTTTCATTTAAGCAAAAGAAGACCAGCCCAGAAGAAGAGTGGGGCTATTCTCTGCAGGGAAGAACTCGGAGAGACTGTGGGAGAATGCTCCACTCCTGTCAATCAGCTGATTAATGGGATGGGGGGGGACGTTCTTGTGGGATGGGAACCCCCTCAGGTTATGCTTTTATTAATTATATATTCCTTTACTGATAATATTTTTAAGACACATTAAGTTGCTAGTCTTTAAGTTTGCAAAAATTACCTTGAAAATATGAACTGAGCCAAAGTCAATGTAATAATCCCTGCCTGAGTCTGCATGCAACTTGGCTCAAGCTGCTTAAAAATCTTAAATCAATGCCTGCAGATCTACACTCACAGCTTTTACATTTCCAAAATGCCAAATATTATACAGTCACACTACATATTAATTTTTATAATCAAATTAATGTATCCATATCTAGAGAAAGGTAACGTGAATATATATCTATATCTACATAAATAGACATAGGTATAGATGTAGATATATTATGTGTGTGTATATGTGTCATATATACATACATATCTATGTATATCTGTGCATACAAAGTTACTATGTATACAAATCAAATACATGTATATATAAATATTAATACATTTTTGCTGGGTAATTCAATTTTTTTATAGTAGCTAAGCTTCTGATTTTGCTTTTTTGCTGGTGATATTTTGTTTTTGTACTATCCTATTTGTTTCTCCACCAAGCTCCCCACTAAGTATTGTTTCTTGGAGCCCTACAGCTAGAAATGGATGCCACTATGAAACCAGGAAACTTCTTGTGGGGTTCAAAAGGTTGGGAGTGAGGGAGGGAAAGCAAAAGTGTAAGCTGGGAAGCTTATGCTTAGAGAGCCACAAAGCAGTTGAGCCCTGTGGAGTGGAGGATATGACCTACTGCAGCCAGATTCAAGAGAGTCTTTGCCTAAGCACGTATGGGTAGAACATGTTAATAAGCTAGGCTAAACAACACCGCAGAAGCCAAGATTTAGGGCTTGCACCTAGGCTGCCTATAGAACACAGCCAAAAAAACTCCCATTCTTTACAAATAATCAGAGTATGGCACAGCAGAATATATTTTTCAACTATATGTAATAACACCTTTTGAGGGTGCATGGTGGACATTTCATAGCAACAAATAATATCACGGCAGAATACATGGAGCCCTGACTTTAGGGTACAATGATGTAACAGCACCAACATGGAATGCACTGGGTGTTTTAATAGGCCTTTCCTCCATCCTTACATTCTGTGATTCTATAATCTGCCAGTAAATGTGGTTTTGTTAGGTATAAACATATAGAAGAACATTATCATCTTCCTATTTCTAGGTCAAAATAAAATTCAGTGTAAAAATAAAATCCCATTCAATCTTATTAAAAAAAGAGACTTGGACAGATGCTGTTTGCACTCTTACCATAATCTTGTCACTGTCAATAATTGTGTTCAGCCTGTGTGCAATTGTCAGCACAGTGCACTGTGCAAATTTTTCACGAATTGTCTTTTGAATCAACTCATCTGTTCTGAAACACAGAAAGAGCAACACAAATAAACATAATTAGACATTTAAGTGACTAATCAGACTGCAGAGAAGCTTTATTATTTTCTTGTAAACCCCTATAAAAAAAAATATCAAGAAATGTAAGCTTACAGAGGTGTTTCAGAACATCTATTTTTCTTCATTAGGTTTTAAACTTGCAGAATTATGAGTACACACACGGGCAGTTCTAAAATTTTGGAAAGGGGGGTGGTGCAGACATTACATATAAAACAACACACATTTTTCTCCAGTTAAACTAGAAGTTTTACTAATATGCAAGGGGGTTGGGGTTGGGGTTGGAGCTGTATTATTCAATTTAAGATTGAAGCAAAGACAAATATAACTTAATTGGAATAAGTTAAAAACAATCTGCAGGTTGTGAAATAGGAGCTTCATCACCAGGAGCAGCTAATTCATTACCAGGACAGCAGAACTGCAGAACGAAGGATAGCTTGAATGGTGGAACATCAAGACCATTTAAAAGAAGAGAAGGGCATTAACAAATGTGGAATGAAGAGTTTACAATGGATCAGGTAGATTACAATGAGCCCTGAAGTCAAATGACTTCCTCAGCACTGCCTGAACAGAAATGCTGCTGCCACTGCCAGGCAGGTTGCCTTTAAACTTGGAGTGGACCACGAATTGATGTGGGGTGCAAGAGCACCCTTCCCAGATCTGCCTCTGCATACACACAAGGAGGATGGAACAGGTAAACACTGGAAATGAGAGGCTACAAACTATGGGACTCTTTAGCCTGGAGAAGTGCAGGCTCAGAGGTGACTTGGTGGCAGCTTATAAGTACACAAGGGGTGTGCATTAGGATCTGGGGGGATGCCTACTCACCAGAGAACCCCACAAGATGACAAGGTCCAACGGTCACAAACTCCTGCAAGACTATTTTAAGCTGGACGTAAGGAAAAACTTCTTTACTGTCCAAGCCCCCAAGGACTGGAACAGACTCCCCCCAGAGGTGGTGCAAGCAGCTACTCTGGACACTTTTAAGAAACATTTGGATGCTTATCTTGCTGGGATCCTTTGACTCTTGCTGACTTCCTGCCCCCTGGACCTGACGATCTTACGAGGTCCCTTCCAGCCCTAATGTCTATGAAATCTATTAAATGCTTCTTTTTGGGGGAAAAAATACTTGTACTATAGTGTGTCAATCAGAGATTTTTCTTCCCAGATAAAAAATGGAGAATAAGTGCTAATAATAATGGTTGGACTCAGTTATTGCTGGATGTGATAGCAGATTCCTTCAAAGTCACTAACCAACAAAACATGATGTTATTTTATACAGTGAAGTCGCATCATATGTGCATTTAACTTAAGCGAATTCAACTGTGTGCTCGGCCAAAAAAAAAAAAAAGAGAGAAAAACAATTTAAATAGTGCAGGTGATTCCGTCCGCCATTCCACTCAATAAGCATATGCCCTGGAGCGAGCGCAAGATGTTTGGTCTTAGTTCCCACATGCCTCTCATAGTGTGAGCATCTTGCTGCACTGAGTGTGATTCTAGCGTTTAAAGATACATATTTTTTGTACAACATGGCCCCTAAACGCAAGCTAACTACTTCATCTGGTGCTCAACTGAAGAAACAGTGATCTGTTCCAACACTGGAGGAAAAACTGGCTGTGTTGGACTTATTGAGAGATGGTATGTTGGTCTCCAACGTGGCGCGTAAATATGGCCGCAACAAATCTAGCATCTGTGCCATCAAGATCGAGAGAGAAATTCATCAAGCCGTGGCATCAAGTGCTCCAATAACTCCTAAGGTGACAAGCCAAGGGCGTGATAAGACTTTAGTGAAGACTGAAAAGGCATTAAACTTATGGCTGGAAGACATGAACCGTAAATGTTGTACCTATCGATGGCAACACATTGCAAGAAAAGGCTCTTAGCCTCTATGCGCTGTTCAAACCTCCCACCGAAGAGGGACAGCCTTCTGATGAGAAGGAATTCAAAGCCACCCAAGGTTGGCTTAACAGTTTTAGGAACTGCTTCAACCTCAAAAATGTGCAGACTACTGGTGAAGCTGCATCTGCCGATGAAGAGGCAGCAAAAGCCTAGCCCAAACAATTAAAGAAAATCATAGAAGAAAAAAGGGCTAGCTTCCGGAACAAGGTTTTAATGCTGACGAGACTGGGCTCTTCTGGAAAAAAATGCCCAACCGCACTTACACTTCGAAATCAGAAAGACAAGCCCCTGGCTTCAAAGCAGCTAAAGACTGTGTGACTGTATTGTTTTGTGGCAATACAGCTGGGCATTTAATAAGGCCGGGCTTGCTCTACAGGGTTGCAAATCCCCGTGCCCTAAAAGGCAAGAGCAAAAATCTCTTGCCTGGGTTCTGGCAATCAAATAAAAAGGCTTGGGTGACGGCAGCCTTATTTCTGGATTGGTTCCACAAGTGTTTCATTCCGGAGGTCAAGCGGTACCTCGAAGAGAAAGGACTTGACTTCAAAGTGTTGCTGATCGTAGACAATGCTCCTGGCCACCCTGAGGCACTCCAGTTTGCACATAACGACGTTGAAGTTGTCTTTCTCCCCCGCAATACCACCTCCACCTTCCAACCTCTCAACCAAGGCATGCTTCGCTGTTTCAAGGCCGTGTACACGAGGCTTATGTTCTCACGGATACGTAGCGCTATGGATGCTGATCCCAATCATAATGTGATGGAGTGTTGGAAGTCCTTCAATATTGCCGATTGCATCACTTATATTAAACAGGCAATGGATGCAATCAAGTCTAAAACAGTCAATGCATGTTGGCGAAACCTATGGAAAGAACGTGTGAATGATTTTAAGGGTTTTCTGGCCATTGACAAAGAAGTGAAATGCATTGTTCAGGTGGCCAGGCAAGTGGGTGGTGATGGCCTCCTTGACATCCTCGAGGAAGAAATTGAACAATTACTTGAGGGCCATAGAGAAACATGGACTAACGAAGAGTTACAGGAACTGATAAAATCGTCTACAGAAGATGAAGGTGATGACAACGAACAGCAAGTGCCAGCAAGTTGGAATCATAAATTTGCTGAAGTGTTCCAATCAGCGAAACACTTGAATGATGTAATTTCTGAATACGATCCCTCTATGGAACAAAGCCTCAAAATCACATGTAGTATTATGGACGATTTGAGACCGTACCAAGAAATATTTAAGCAGCTTAAGAGACAACAGCAACAGTTGCCGATCACCATGTTTTTCAAGAAAAAACAAGCAGCAGCAGATGAGCCTATGCAATCAACTTCTCGAGCTGAACCAGAGCCAACCACTTCATCTACGACTCACTCTAATTTTGACTATATGCGATTTTCACCTTACGCGCTGACTTTAGAACCTAACCCCCACGTAAGATGCGACTCCACTGTATTGGGATTTGGTAACTACGACATTAGAGAACTGATTATAGAAAGTCTTGGATCAAATAATACAATTGATTCAGCTTAAATTAGATGACAAAATTAAAGAAAGAAAATCTGTAACTAAGATTATCGATTTCACACAAGCAAATTTTGAGAGGTGAATGGAACTAGTTAGTGAAGTTAACCACACTGAAATGTTCAGGAAGTTAAATATGGAGGTGGCTTGGAATTTCTTTAAACTAAAATATGCAAAAACTACTGGGAATTTCTCTCACAAATAAGCAGAAACAAAAGAAAAAGAACTTATACAGCTGCAAATAAACTTAAAAAAAAAAATTCCAAGTTAAACTACATACCTCTAAACTACATACCTACATTTTTGTAGCATTAGGCTTACAGCTGACACAAGGTAAACATTTACCCTAATATATACTTCAGGACACATTAAGCAAGATTAATTAAATGCAGGGTATAAGTTAAAAAAAAAAAATCAAGATGTCAAAATGGGGAGGATGAGTAAAAAGTATTACATTCCCATTGTGCTTATTAATCACAGTTATCACTCCTTATGCAAAAGTAAACAAGCCCAAATCGGGAGAGGGAATGGCACTACTTTAAAGGTCTTACAAATAAAATGGACACTTAACTGCAAAGCTGTCACCACTTCTTTCCAAAGATGAAGTTATAAAAATGAGTCATAGTCAGACGACAGACATAATGCATTTAACATGAGGGACTCATAGTTTTATTGTTCTTTCAGGACTTTTGTGTTCTTCAAGCCATAGCTTGGTAGAACTATATATATTCAGCTCAAACTAACTGATGCAGCACATTTTCAGTTTTTTCTAAAATAAATTCCATTTTCATTTTATTTTTTAGTTCCTGAGGTGTTTCAGAATAAGTTGTTTTTGACAAATTTATTTAATAGGTTTTATCTGTAATTTCTAGTATATATGGTTTGATATGCTAAGTATTTTAAACAGATGGCACCTAATAAAAATGGTACATGTTGCTATTTTTTTTTACAGTCATTCTTTCGTTACTAAGACACTGAAAGAGGTAAAGCACTCTTCAAGTATTATTTGACCCAATATGGCAGTGCACCTTTGGGTGCCTGCCACTTTAAGAGCAGAAGCAGGCAGCTACCAGATGCCTGATAAGGGCAGCCATTTTGGGAATACTAGGTATATAAAGCCCAGGCAGATACATTGCCTAGCTGAGAGGCATGGAACATCTAGAGGTGAGAGCAGGAGGCTCTTGGTCTTTGGCATGACCTAAAACTGCACCCCGCCGGGGAAGGGTAGCCTGGTGGGGCTCCTAGTGGTGTGGGAGCCCCCAGGAAATGCCAGGCCAGTTACCTTCCTGGTGAAAGGCGGGTAGGGGTGGCTTAAACCCAGCCCTCACCATCTGGTGGGTAATTCTGAGTGCTGGACGAATAGTGGGGGTCAGGTATGCCCATGTGTAGGCATCCGAGAACCAGCAGGGATGCAGATCCTGGAGACCACAGAGTGGATAGTGTGTAGAGCATTGGGAGGCCCCCATACAGAGCAGGGCTAAACTCAGAGTAGGCCCGAAGGGCTGTGCATGTGAGGGGGATGAGTAGGGCTCAAGTGGGAGTAGGCCTG